AAGATTCCAATACGTTCAATAACACGCGCGTCCTAACTGATCTTCACACATGTATTGGCAAAAATCAACGGTATCTCATCACTGATCGCGACCCACACCCCAATTATTGCACAGCCGAGTTAGCGTTCTTTAACAATCATCCCTCGTGGGATGACACTCCCGATACTTCTGACTAGAATGTGGTCGCTTTGGCTATTCAACACCGGCTCTACAGCGAATATTTTCTGGTCAGATAAAACGGTCGAAAGTTGCTTGTCGTCAGTGACGCAGCTAGTAAGCTTTTTAACCAATTGTTCCGGCCTCTCTCTGTTTTTTTTTTGCTAAACAGAAGGAAGCGGCACTTCTGCATGTGATAGAGTTTGTAGTGCTGCTTCTCCTTAATGATGCCCCATCGATGACTTCGGTAAATTCAGCGGCCTCGCCATCCTTCTGATGAGCACCGTGGATTGCTAAGCAAACATTTCGTTGATTCTATCCGTGAACACGCTGACCATTCTTCCTTGTACAGGCTTGTGAATGAGTGTTCTTATTCTCCTGCATCGTTTGTTGGCCACCTTTACTGTGTTCACGGGAACACCAAGAAATTTAACAATGTCCTAAGATGCAGTCTCTTGCTCGCGCACGCGAATGATCGCAGGTCACCTTGGATCACCTCTCGCCATCTCAGAGATACTGGCAGTTTTACCCCAATAACGATGCAGTTCACAAGAGAACCTACCTGCACAACTATTTAGTAGCGCCGAAATGAAAATAATCGATATACCTTTTCCAATGAATTTTTGAAATTTGGCGCAAGTAATTTTGGGACACCCTGTAGGAGCTCACCTTATTTCCAACGCGAAGTAAAGCGGACTATTATTAGAAAGTGACTCATCACATTCCTGGTCTTCAAACTGTCTTTGAATCAGTTTATATAATGCTAATCAAATCATGGTTTCCTGCTCTTTTACTTGTAGATAATTTATGCACAATAGATGTTTTCGTATTTGTTCCCTTTATCCATGTTAAGGGATGTAGTTTTATGTTCTGCGTTTGTTCATGATTATTTTTTTTACATATTCATTCTATGGCGGCATGAAGCTAATGGTATGTATACTCGAGATCCGTAAGTTGGGGTAGGCATGTCATCGGAAGTGACATGTGCTTAATATTAGGTCGTGAAGAAAGTTCTTGCGCTTTTCGGTGTTTCGTTTTTGAACGCTTTATTTTGTTACGAATTCAAGCAAGCTGCCAATGAGCTGTATGTGGTTTTGAAGAGCTTTTCTTGTTCTATCTAACAGCTAGGCTAGCTATGTTTCTTATCATTTAGTTGTCATTTTTTGAAGCCTTGAATACGGCATACTCCAAGAGCAAATTTGCATGATTTCCTTTTTCTAGCTCAAGATATTACAGGCGCACTTGGCTGAGATTCGCAATAAATATGGTCTGAAGCAATTGTTCAAAAAGCTTTTGTAAGAATAGCGAGAGCCCTAAATATTGTGAGGGTGGTGATCGGAGATTGGACAACGCCAACGATTAGTCGAACGTTCTGGTTGAAGCACGCAAAAAACTGTTGTTGGAGATCAAAAATCTATTGAGAGGGTTCCTCCTAAACTAATCGCACTTGCATTGTGTTTTCTTGTTGTACGGGAAGAGCTGGAAAGTCCCAAAAACTCAAATAGGGCGTGCCGCGACAGCTCACCATTTTGAAGGGTCGTTCGCCGCGTTCTAGCTTGTTTCATGCCATGAAAACGACCTGACTTTTTGATCATTTGCGACGTACGACAAAGAACGGATTCTTTGCTACAGAATACGAACCTTTGGTGAAGTGATCAACCGCGATCAGGCTCTACAAACGTGAAACTTCAGTGAAGGAAGGTTGAGTACTTTCATAAGGTCAGCGCGGCTGGTCTAACTTCTCGTAACTAGGTGGATCTGTTAATGTGGGGAATGTACTCTTGATAATGTGTAAAATTACTCCTTAGAACTCTGGCACATATGCTCGAAATTCCTCATTATAAAGGAACCGGCTCGTCCCTGACAGGTAGCTCGGACGCACATTCCACAACCAACCCTGCAGAAGTTCGACAAGATTGGCTACGAATTAGTCCTGCGAACATCCTACTCGGTAGACCTTTTGCCTATAATTTGTCACTTTCTCGACTACCTGGATAGCTTCTCCAAAGAGTTATGCTTCAAAAACCAACATGATGCGGAAACGACCTCCGCCGGGTTCATCGTCTCTAGAGCTCCAGTATTCTGCACTACCGGGCTGATTCAACGCAGCTGTTATTGGCAGAGGTTTGTGGATCTCACGATCTCATCTAATTACAAAGGTTCCGAGAGTCCGACGAGATACAGGCATTTGAAAATCAAGGTTCAAAAGCGCAAGAACTTTCTTTCACGACTCTAATAGAATCTATGTGGATAAGGGGCTTCCAGTATACATCGCGAGATATCAGCAAAGCATGCTGGCAACGACTTATCTAGGCAACTTCTATCAAGTCCACGTCACTTCCGGTGACACGCCTACCCCAACTTTCGGATCTCGACTGTATGCACCACGCTTACACTATCCACACAACACGTTGAATACCGCGTATGCCTCGCCTTGCCAGATCATAACGTTAATCAGTGAGCTCATCCAATTACTCCTCGGCTCATAGGTCGATAAATATCCATCGCATCTACCAGGTATTCCGCTCTACAGCTCCTTGTCCTTGGCAGTAGGGGAACAAGCCTAGTTACCCACTCGCTGCGGGCACGTGGACGTTCATCGTCATGGCAGTCTCACGTGCTCGCGAGAATTCTTCAGAGATATTGTGGGACAGTGGACTTCCGCGCTTTGTCGCGCCTCACGGAAATCATCAATGCAATCTCCTAGTCTTCCAGCCCGCAGGCAAAACATTCAAAAGGAACCGCTTGAATTAACGTAAAACGCAATAACAGAAACCTTTCCTTCTTGCTTTTTTGACGATTTTCTTTGCACGTCTATTCTACATTATTTTTTGAACGCAAAAAACACCTATCTTGTCATGAAGCTTGTATTTAAAGATTTCATAACGCTGATACAACTTTTTTCTGACCCTGCCACCAAGAACGTTAATTTTTCGGGCTTGCATTGAGAAGACTAGCGGTGCGACTTCCCTTATGCATATATGACGAACTTCAGTGCTTCGCATTTATGTAGTGTGAGATGCAATAAAGAAGTTTTGTTGAGAAATTACAGCACTTCACGCATGGTTCGAAGTGATCAGACAAGAAGAAAACTTTCACGGCATGATGCACAGTCCCATTGCAGTGTCACATCTCTTTGAAGGACATTGTGAGCACGGCGTTCCTTTTTGTAGACTTCGTGATCTACTTGGTTTCCGCTGAAAAAAAAAACAGTAAGCGCAAAAGTACCTCTATGAGAACTGTGTTTAACATTCGTCTATATTGTACATACTGTATTGTACTTGTTTCCCATCTCAAAGCAAACAACTCCCATTCAATTGAATGGCTTATTGCCGAAACTATTCAAAGAAGGGCACCCTCTTCGTGGGAGGGAGAATGAAGAATACATGCGACATGCGGCCTGACGGACTGGAATGGAGAGGATATGAGCCGATTTAATTCTTCCTGGTTTTTCTACCCACTCCTAGTCTTAGTGCTAGTCGCACTCACCATTGGTCCTGTTTGTTCCCACCTCCTCCACCTTCAACTCAAAGCCATGAGCGCCAGTAGAACACCGCGACGAAATGGGCGCTATCGCAAGATATTACGACATTGTCCAGGACTACGCTCAAGAGGAGGCAGGACCTCAGAGAAAATGAAAACCACTCATGCTGCTAAAGCCTCTCCTACCTTACCCAAGGCCTGGCCCTTTGAACATCAGTATAGATGTTTGACGCGGTTGAAGCTATATCTTTGGACAAAGTCCCACAAATGCATTTTCTTGTGAACTTTTTTTTTATAAAATTCTAACTTTTTTCAAGGAGTATTGCCGCCACAATGCCCCCGTATCTTGCGACAGCGCCGACATCCGAACTCCAGCGTTTTTTGCTTGATCTAGCCAATATTTTTCTATACTCATGCTTATCCCTCGGAAAATGGAGACCCGAACTCAGTTTTCAAGCACACTGAGACTACATGAAATCATTTTTGAAAACGTTGAACAAAAATGCTCGAATCTGGACCCGTTTTTGGCATGGTGGTGAATTCTCGGCGGAGACGAGTTTTTGTTTAAATTTTTAAGCGAAAGTGTGCTTACGCTGGTGAGTATCGGCATACAGTGAAGTAGACGTCGCCGCATTTCCCAATGGCACATCCGACCTTATTCGTGGTTGACCACACAACCTATGCATCAAATTAACATTAATATGCGGCTGATATCCAGCACCACCTTAATAAAATTAGGATTCAGAAAAAAATATTGATGGGATCTCACCTGAGTCGCTCCAGCTACAGGGGTATATCTGTGTTTCTCTTTGAATGTTACTTCTTTAATTCCAATGCTACCGTCCTCCTTTATCGGTTTGAACCACGATCGCATGGCCTGAGCGATACATCTGCTTCACAGTGCTCAGTTATTTCAGCAGTCGAAAACTTGGCGTTAACCAACTAACCCATTGAGCAGCTTTGTCGAAACTTTCCGCACTCTGAGGCTCCACCACAGCTACGTTCTCTCCCTGATCTTTCCTAGTGCCAGGATAGGACGGCCCAAGTGCACATGTTTCAGCGTAGATCATGGCATCAGCTTCCAGCTCGCAGTCGTACTCCTGTCCAAAATAAACTCACCGGGAGTAATTCAAAAATTCGTAGGTGGAAGCGTCACCATCTTCTCCATGTTAGCAGCCTTGGGGAAAAATTTGCCGTTGAACTTCTCAACTTTTCCCAGAGCCATATTGGACCTAAATGAAGGAGAACTCCCTGAATGGCAGGGGATTAGCTCTTTTTATGATTTGCACACAGACCTACGATAATTGTGCATTTTGAGGAACTTCTCTCTCAAGCTGTCTGTCATTCCTGTGTTGTTGGAGCACTGATTGTTTGCACCTTAATAGAAGACAAATAAAAGTCCGGTTCATTTTTAGCTGTACGGAGCGAAAGTTAACCTGCAGGAACAGTTTCGAAAGATTGAGCGTGGCAGAGTGTTTCAGTAACGTTGCACGTTGACCGGGGATACGTTGTGCATTCTTGATCTGACTTACAAGGCGTGCCTGCTCGGTATATTAACTGGCCATTCCTAAGCTCACTGCAAACCGATACCGTCAATTTCTCGTATATCACTGCTTGACGTCATTCTTTCAGTGAAGTTCCTTGACTATCGTTATGACAGTAGCTGATCAGATTCTAACCAGGATATGCTTTGAACTTCTCGTGCACCTTGAAAGGAAATCTGGATATATCGATAGAGTCTTGAACGCTGATTACAAATATGGACACTAAAACTGCTACGTGAACTTCCTAAGAAAGTTATGAGCCTTCAAAGTTGGCAAAAACGTTACTGAGGCGAGCTTACCTGGTGGAATCACAGTCGCCGTGGCTCTGCGCAAAAACGAGTCTCATATTCGTAATCAGGGCACCCATTTACTCTATAGAACAAGTTCCAGGCAAAAAGCAACCGTGTTTCCACATACCCTCCCCTTCAAAAAGCGAGAAAGTGTCGGGTGCAGACCAAACACCACAACTGACGACGGCCTCCAAGTAAATCTGGTTAGAAGTTGTTCATAGTGATAGCTGATTTCTGGTAAATGATAGTTGTAATTAGTGACAATCGATAGAATACAACTGCAACAGGCTAATCATTTCATTGGCAGAAAACATTAACATTTTGTGAAGGCCGTCGTCACTTGTGGTGCATGGTCTGCACCCGACACTTTCTCGCTTTTTGAAGGGGAGGGTAGGTTGCACTCATCATGCCTTCTTTTGCAACTTTTAAGGCTCACAACTTTCTTACAAAGTTCACGTAGCAGTTTTAGTGTCCATATTTGTAATCAGCGTTCAAGACTCTATCGATGTACCTAGGTCTCCTTTCAAAGTTCCATGGGAAGTTCTAAACACTCCCTGGTAAGATACACCGCCCCGCAAACAGATACTAACCATAAGGTACACCGCTCCGCATAAACACTTCCCTTCCATCTACTATTTCCCCAAAAGCTTACATATAAAAATGACTTAGGAAAAGCTCCAGAGTGGAACAGGGTCAACCGTCACGTTGGACCAATTGCGAAAATTTTACGACCCCTCTCCCCTCACCTCTTCTCTTCTCTTCCTCTAGAGGGCCTCGATACGACCTCCTCAGGGTTAACCCTTTCACGACCCCCTCCACCACCATGAGCTCAGGAGGCTCCACCAATAACGACCGCCACCCTCCTCCACCCTCACCATCATGGCTGATTCTATAGGATGTATTTGATTCTGAGACCAGTCGACACAGCCCAACTCCGCCCAGTTCCTCCGAAATTTCCATCGAGTGGGGGAGTGAGGGTATATTTTAGCGCACAAACTAGTACCTACCAAACTACCAACCAACACCGCCAACAACCTAACCCGTTCCATTCCGTTCCATGAAAAATCCTTCCATTACTATAACACTAACGCTGCCTCCACCCTTGCGAAATACGACCCCCCACTCCACACCCTCGTTGGACTTTCCAACGGACGGTTCGCCCGGGCCGCAAGTGAGCCCAGCTATGATTGCCAACACAAAACCCGCAGAAGGCGCAAGGAGCTCGTCCGACCCGCAACTCACACCTTCGTCCGCAAGCCCCACCCTCCGCTGTCGGTTGCGCTGCTTGAAAAGCGCGGGCGCATTTGAGGCAGCGGTCCCATTGCGATCCAATGTCATTGGCACTGGAGCAACTAGAGTTAGGTTCGTGAAACTCGTCCAACGCGCCTCTTCTCTATCCCAAGGTGGAATGCGGCTGAAATAGGGGAGGTCTCTGTACGGGGCGTAATCGGTGGTTTCGTTTGCTTTCCTTCTCTTTTCCAGACCACCTCCCACCTCTAGCTTCATAACTGAACGCTTTTCCACACCTATTTTATCCCGAATCTTGCCTTTAAGTTTCAGTTCCCCGAAAAGTCATTCACTTTCATCGCTCTCATACAGAGCATTCTTTCATTTCCTACATTGGAGGAGCTTATTTCAACTCAGACAAGACATAGAAGGGAAGTTTCACAAGAATGCTGGGTGTGTGAACAAAACTTTCGCCCTCCAGGACAGGACTAGAACCTCGCACGCTCCTCGCTTTAAGTTTCCAAGCGACGAGGTGCGGTTCTAGGTCGCCTGAGCGATTTTTTTGTTACACCAACCATGCTAATTCTTGTGAAACTTCCCTTCTATGTCTTCGAACACAAATCGTTTAGGTTCAAGAGCGATCAGTGCGCGGGTTCTCTAGTCCACGCCTGGGCGAAAAACGTTTTTGATTCACACAAACCCACGCATTTCTAGATGAAACACCACGCCTTGACGTCGACCCAGGCTACACGAAACAGCCTAGTTTACCAACAAACAAGTCAAAATAGAAGGGAAGCTTACGGTTTGCTGAAGAAACACACGGCGGTGGCTTTGTCGTTGCAAGTCTGCTGAGAGCAACCGACAGAAAGTGTGACAGCACGATAAATCTGCCAAATGTTGCTGTTTTTTTTTTCACAGAAAAATGTTCATATAAGGAATTCTTCTTACATTCGCTAGCGATCTCAACGGTTCGGGGCCCTGGAAGTTCAGTATCCATGTTGCCCCTGTATCTGTAAATGTTGCACAAACGTTTGATTCACGGAGTTGTAAGATTGAATGATTGTATTCTTCGATAGTTGTGCGTTCCGCTTAGAAAACACCAGGGACTGAGTCTTGATACAAAATAAAGGAAACAAGCAATCACATAAAACGTGTTTATGTAAATAATCTATGTGAGATCCACAAAAGTTTACAGCGCTTTCCTCTTCTTAGTTTTCTTCACTCGATGGCGGGGTGCGCTATTCTGGTAGTTGATGCTGCACTTCTCAAAAGAATGCTCAAACGCGATTGGAGTCTGGTTTCTAGTGTTCGTGCAAAGTTTCAAGCTTACGTCCCTTAGGCCGCTTTCCGTTCTCGCCAGAGTCAAAGCTTCTTGCTGACATAGTAGAATGTGACCGTACTATTACCGCAGATTTCAACAAAATAGGTGGCAAGCCGTGAATACTTTATCCTTAACTGGGAATTGCTCAGGGTGCCTATTACTTCTAAAACGCGCTGTCTATGTTCTATAATAAACATATTAGCAATACTCACTATAGAATATTGCTTGCATATAAGGAATTGTTTGGTTTTTGACTAGGGCATCCTTCGACAGCTTCTCTAGCCAATCTCTCCAATCCACAGCTCCATCTCTGAAAAAAAAAATTCGTAAACAAAATGTAGAATTGAAGGATACACAAGAACACATGGTTTAGTATTTATTTAGCTATTGTTTACAACTGAAGCACAGGAATATAATGAATAATCAATTGAACACAGAATGACAATAGTAAAAGTCAAAAAAATGTAATACATGGATGGTAATGGGAAATTATGTATTAGGAGCACGTCTCATAAGATAAAAGGCATAAAGGCATACGATGTCAAAGAGTTGCGTAATTAGGACCTGCTCCAGCGGTATCAGGGGTGGGCGAAGGAGTTGGGTTCAACATGATGTCATGTTTGCGCGCTTAGTACAGTCTCATTGGGCAGGATCAAGCGTCTGTCCGGACTATTCGAACGGGGGGGGGGTCGCATGTCGCTTGCGGAGTGAGGAGGGGAGTCGCAATGCCGCGGCAATCGCAGCGATTTGTCACTGGTACGTGAATAGTGGAGGGTATGCTGAAGTGGTACATGAGTTTGTGGAAAGAACGAAATAAAAATTGTTCAATTCAAGTTCGGCTGCTTTGCATATCTCCCACATACCATCGACGGGATGAAACACGAGCTTGCCAGAGGTCACAAGGAACGGGCGTTCCAAGTTTATGCTTTCTAAATGAATCTAGAATGCATCTGTAGGCCTAGGCTCGCATCTCTGCACGACAGTGATGGGAATGGCTGGCTTTCACTGGGTCAAAGAAGAGGAAATAGACCTTCAAATGTCTTCGTAACTTTTAACCAGAAGTGCGTGCGTTGCTTCCTGCAGCAGAACTTGTTGGCGGAAAGTGCTTTAAATTCGACTCATCAGATGCAGAAAGATTGCTCTGAACCAATTTCGGAGTAGCCGGATAAATACAAAGACTGTACCCGAGGCTGAAAAAAAGAATTTTCGAGAAGGCAGATTTGATTCTTCAAGATTATTTTAGAATAGTTCAAGAAGAATAATTCTTTTAGTTCCGGA